TAATGTATAACTGTATGTTGTAGTGGACTGATGAGGACCAACAGAGACTGTCTCATTCACTGATGATAACTGGGGACAAGATGGAGTATAGGAGATGGTGTAGTGTGTTACATAGTTGTCACTACTGGCAATAGTCCAGTTCACTGTAATACCAGTGGTTGAGACATTAGATACTGAGAGACTAGTTACTGGACTAGGAACTAAAACAGATATCAATTACACTCTCTCAATGATAATAACTCACCATCTAATCTTAACACTGTTACTGTACTATTAACTGAAGGAAGATATATATATGAGTACACACTGATGGTATAGGCATTCATTGGTGAGAGATCTGTTAGTATAATTTCATGTACATTGGTAGATATTACATTCCTGGTTACACCTCCAGTAGTATACTCAATCACATATCCATTAGTCTCTGATGAATAGGTCCAGTTCACTTTGATACTAGTAGCATTTAATATAAACCCTCTCACATTATTTGGAGGACCACTAGGAGCTAGAAAAGAGACAAAGGTATCTACTATTGATTAAAGTGTAATTATACCATGTAATATCACAGATTGATTGTATTTGATTTCTCCAATCATTGCTATACAGGTAACATTAACTGACACTCCCAGTGGATCAGGATATACCAGCAGTGTGTTGTTGTATGTCAGGACATCAATTGATGTATACATTGAGTTACTCTTCATCACTCCATTCACTAACCAGTAAACATCAGTTGAAGGATTTATATCAGTAGTTGTGAGACAATCAATACGATATTGAGTGTTATTGAGTTGTGTCGTGGATGAGACTAGTGTCCAATTGATTGAATTAACAACTAGAAATACATCAACAATGTTACAAGTACATTAAAAGGTGCAGTAGCAATACCTGGTAAGGTCTGTACACTGATTGTACTACTAGCAGGTCCCAGTAATTGTTGATAGGCTCTGACTGTGATGTTATAAGCTGTTCCTCCTCTCAGTCCATTCAGTGTGATTGTATTATTACTACTTCCCTCCACCTGTACTGTCTGCACAGTGTTTGTGTCACTAGTGACATTGACTACATATCCATCAGCATCAGATGAATCAAGTGCAGTCCAACTGACAGTGATAGTGGTAGCTGTCTCGTTGACCTCAGTAAGAGAATAGGGAGCAGTTGCTGGAACTATAAAATATATAGTATTTTAAGATAAGATCTAATCTGTTACCTTTTAGAGTGACATTACATGTTCTAGTAGGTTGATTAGTAACTGCCACTACACACTGATACATTTGATCTCCAGTGGCGTATTGACTGATTAATCCATTTTTGATTGTCATTCCATCCCATGTGATATCAACAGTATATCTTATTGTGTTGGTAATACTAACCAACACAGTACCATGACAATTGCTATTTCTATTGTCACAGTTAGTGTAACTAGCCAGTGTAGTACTATTGATGCTCATTCTGATATCATAGTGAGGGTGTCCAATTTTGACACAATTGAGTTTGTACTCCTGAGGATATACTGTCATATCAGAAGAAAGATCAGCAACAGTAAATGATTCTATTTGTGCAAATCCTACAAAAATTATTACATGCATTAGTAGATCTAAGGGATTATAGTCTCCTCTTACTGAATATATTAGCAAAGATGATGTTAGTGTTAGGATCTGAACAATCACTGGGTAGACAACACTTGTACCAGCCTTCTTGAGATTTTGGTAGTCCCTGAGCAAGATAAAGATAGAGAATAGCATCAGGTGAAGTGACATTAGTACAATGAAAAGGATCACTGGCACTATTACTGTTACAGTCAACAGGATCATCAGGATCAGCAACTCTAACCCACTGACCAGTAGTTAGACTAGTGCCAGGTAACACACATGATATATTTTGAGTAATGTAATTGAAACTACTATCCCAAAAATATGATCCATTAGGATAACAGTTTCCATTATATGCTAAATAGATGCCTATAATAATCAATATTTATATTAATTTATAATAAAACAAAATACCTTCTCGTTGACAATGAGTGAAGACACTTATTGTACTAGCAGGTCCCAGTAATTGTTGATAGGCTCTGACTGTGATGCTATAAGTTGTTAGTTCCCTCAGTCCATTCAGTGCGATTGTATTATTACTACTTCCCTCCACCTGTACTGTCTGCACAGTGTCTGTGTCACTAGTGACATTGACTACATATCCATCAGCATCAGATGAATCAAGTGCAGTCCAACTGACAGTGATAGTGGTAGCTGTCTTGCTGACCTCAGTGAGAGAAGAGGGAGCAGTTGCTGGTACTAACAGAAAGAGATACATTATTATTATTATTGGTAAAATTACATGTAGAAGCATAATGTAGATCAGCATTACCTTTTATGGTTAAATTACGTGTTCTATCGGCACCACTAGGATTATTGAGTACACACTGATACATTTGATCTCCAGTGATTGATAGACTGCTTGACCAACTGCTGACAGTCATTCCATCCCATGTGATATCAATAGTATATCTTACTGTGTTGGTACTACTAACTAACACAGTACCAAAGCAACTATTACTACGATCATCACAATTATTGTAACTAGTCAGTGCAGTACTACCTATGCTAATACTAATACCATAATGAGTGTATCCAATTTTAGTGCAATTCAGTTTGTATTCCTGAGGATATACTGTCATATCAGAAGAAAGATCAGCTATAAAAAATGATTCTATCTGTGTGAAACCTATTCATAAATAAAAAATTAACTTAAAGAGAGTTGTTTAGCATATTTTACTGAATATATTAGCAAAGATGATGTTAGTGTTAGAATCTGAACAATTAGTGGGTAGACAACACTTGTACCAGCCATCACCAGCAGATGACTGGAGAAAGCTTGGTGGATTTATGAAAACACTGAGACTAGCACCTGACCCAGTGGTACATTGAACATTTGCATTGTTACCACCATCACAAGGAACTACTCCATTAGGACCAATCCATTGTCCACCATTCAGAGTAGCACCAGGTAAACCACACTCTAGTGGAGTTGGTCTGATACTGTTATCCCAAAAATATGATCCATTAGAATAACAGTTTCCATTATACCTCAGGTAGATACCTATAAGAACCTATACAGTTGTTATTATACACATCCAGTGTCTTACCTGAGGAAGGTGGACATTGACTAATAACTTTATTGACATTCAACAAAATGAGCAAAATTACCAATGATACTGACAATGCCATCTTAGCAATAGTAAGATAGTAAATAAAAATTATAAAAACTATAAAATCAGTCTAGTGTTATTTTTATCAAATTAAAAACAGTTTCTTTTACATAAATAAAGTGCACATCACCATTAAAACTTGTTTACTTATATCCTTAAAATAAGCTCATACAATAACATGAGTATGCTGTGAAAATAAACTATATGCATATCACTTAAGTTTTGTATCTCAGGCTCATGAGTACATGAATATGTTAACATCAAATCAAATAAATCAGGAAACCTGCTCCATTGCACTGACAGGTTTACAGACTGTATAGACACATCATAGCATAAATATAATCAGAATCATTTGCAGCTTGTCATTCACACCTGGAGATACCAGTAGTGTGAAATATTGCTAGAGTTGTCATTAAAGTTAGACCATTGGTACTTGTATTATACAAATAGAAACAGCCAGACAAGCAGATACCAGTTATAATCATGAACAGTTATATTAAGAAATGCTCTTGAAGACTTTGAAACAAAATCATTTCAGTTTGACTATATACCTACAAATTCAGCAAAGACCACTACAATATTATTAGTAACATTCTGAAACAAAAAAACTTTTATGATACAGGACGACATTATTGGGTCCCAAGGTGTCCACTGAACAGACAAGTTTGACTGTACGTGTATGTATGCAGTTTAAATATTGGTAGCAAGTTACTCTAAAAGTTTATAAAGAATCCAAATGTGATTGGAATCAGCTCAAAATTGAAACACAACATGACAACATGTATAAATGTATAATGTATCAGGGAAATTATAAAAATAAGAATGTTCTTTTTATTTTTGGTGAAATACCCTGTACTGTAGTACAGGGAATTTGGCCCAATTTTGGAGCAAGTTTAAAAATTTATAAGAATTTTAAATGGAATTAGAGTCAATTCAAAATTGAAATACAACATAAAAACATGTATATGTATTAGAAAAAATTATAAAATAAAATTTTTCTCCTTTTCAGTTATAGTGAAATTTGACAAAGGACACTGTATGGGATTTGGCCTGAAATTTGTAAAAAAATCCAAATGTGATTAAAATCATCTAAAATTTTCTGTTCGACATAAATAACTTGTATGTGCAACAAATTTTTTTTAAATGGAGAATTTATTCTTGACATTTTTGACAAAATATCCTGTAATATAGTATAGGTTTGTTATTAAATCTTGAAGATACTGTATCAACACATATGTAGATTTATCATTTAGAGTTGGTAGGAGGTCTTTGTGGGATCATACTATTAGGAGAATCATGTGATCAATGCTAACCACTGGTTAGAATGAAATCTTGGTAAGTATATAAGTCTTTCCATTAATATGCATATACTCTCTCTCTCTTTAAATGGTCAATATGAGGATTGATCAGTACAGGCAATTTACTAAAATCAGATCTTGTGCCAC